CTGAATATAAACTAGACTCATTTTTGGCCAGAAAACTTCAGCTATTACATTCTCCATTATTATGGCTGCTTGGCTGGTTTTCCAAGTTAAAGAAAGTGCATAGCCTTGTGTATTTTTTCTCAACACTGTCTATATCTAATGCAGTTCTCCGTGCAGTTGGTGTCTTACGGGGGAGAGGGGAGGATCCTGGGTCTTCCTTGCTTTGTCCCAAGTGGACACCGGGGAAAGACTGAGGAGAGGGAGGTATGGAGGAGGCACGTGGAATGTGGATTGCACTGCAGGGTGAGGCTGTGCCTTTCAAGAGCAAACACCTGAACCTGGTGAAGAGCGCTGGGGAAGGTGCCCACTTACAGCTCAGGAGCTAATGCAGGGTAGCTGATTTCTAAGGAGATTCAGACAGTGATCTCAAAATACAGCCTGATGTATTTTTCTGTGGCCCTAATTTAAAGATTGGGATAAAAAATATTCGGGAGCATTTAGCTACAAATCCAGTTTGGTTGTCTGCTTCTATCCTAAAATCTGAGAATGTTGTAATACTGGGCCCTCATTGCAAAGGAAGGTAAATTCCCTGGTGTGGATAGCATAGCACACACTCCAGAGTTCTGTCACGTATGTGTATGCATGATTGGTTTCAATTATTTGTTACTCAAAACTGCCAAAAGATTTGAAACTATAAAGCACTTAAGTAGAATCAGATCCCTGAAGGGGAGACCTGCTGAAGCCCCAGTTGAGGGGAACAGAAATAAGATTTAGAAATAGCGAACATTAACCAGCATAAGGAATACCTCCTTTAATTCTCATAAACCCATTTTAAAGATGAGCAAACTGAGGTGTAAAGAGGTTAAGTACAGGTTTTTTGTACTTAGGTTGCATTTTATTCAAAGTACTCTCTGCTTAAGACAATTCATAATTCAAAGCAAATCCATACAGAGATTGGCTGGTATTTCCGCAGAGCAATTAGATGGGTCTTAGCATTTGGCAGTGGACCAGAGTACCAGTTTACAAGTCACTCAGCCAGATGCTTTGAAGTTATGCTATTTTTTGATACATTTAAAAAAACAGATTCCCATTTATTACAAATTTTGCGAATAAAGCAACTTGGTTAGTATTTCATTTTGCCGATTTAAAATTTATGTAAAATACCACTTTATTATAACTTGTTCACGATCAAGTCATACTAGTGAATCTGACTCCAAAGTCATGAGTGACATAAAAATACATGTCTATAAAAACCTGTTTGTTAATTGTTATTAGAGGAGCAGTGAGCCTGGCTGGAGGCTGGGATGGGGGATTTACACCCCTTTGTCACCCATGGGTCTAAAATGATCATCACTGCTGGATGGACAGTGGAGGTCACCGGCACCAATTTTTTGAAATGGTTTATCTGTGCAATTAATCTGTGGTTGGTTTCAATCACAAACACTCTATTTAGGCATTGGAATGGAAATCCTGGACTTTCATTTTTTCAACTTTACCTTTGTGATTGATGAGATCTGGTTTTTTATAAAGTCAGCTTACCGGTAACCTAATAGAACAACTGTTTTCTTTTCCACTTGTAACATTTGGGGAGCACATTTGGTTACTTGTATTTGGCTATTAAAGTTTATATATCTGTGTACATCTTTAAAGAATACATACATACTTCCTGCCTGAACGTGGCCGCCTCTGTGTCTAGAGTACATATCTTTGGTCTGGAGCCAGCCTGGGAGCCTGGGAGGGGTTCATCCCTCAGCTAATTTTCCTTTGGCTACGGAGCTGCTGAGAGGCCTCTGAGGATGGTGGGGGGGGGGGGGGGCGGTGCATGCTGGGGTCAGAGGGAGGAATGGTAAATGCATAAGGGGACGTGTGGATTTATCTGCATATCCAACAACGGAACTGTAAGACTCTATTGTATATGCTTCTGTAGATCACACTGTCATTTCAAGTATTAATCCAGTCAGGGAGTTTTGGCAAATATGAAGTCTATAATAGATGAGACATCTTTCTGATATGTGTCTGTGTCATTGTGCAGCATGTTTGTCACATGATAATTAAAGTACTTTGGTGCTGTTGTTGTTCTGAAGCATTTTCCTCCTTTATGTACTCTAAATCCCTTTCCAGGCTTGATGAGGTTTAAACAGCCGCTCAGTTGACCCAGTCAGTTTCCGGGGTTTGTTCCTGTCCCGTGCAAAAATTGGCACAGAAATGAGTGACTCGTTATTGACGTGATCCTTGCTCCTGAGTGCGTCGTAAGCCTCCTGTTTTTAGACTGTGCCAAAGACCAGCAAATAGCGGGGTATGTGCCCAAGCCAAGACCCATCTCCTATGGCTGTTGTCCAGAAAACACTGATAAAATTGACTGCATGAGGTTTGAACAGGCCCACTGAGGCCCACAGTGATTTCCTTCCATTGTTTGCAACTTGGTGCAGTGGCTTCGTGAACCAGGAGAAAGGGTGAAGATTTACTCTGGCCAGAGAAATTCTCTCTGTTCCTCTCCCTTGAGCAATCAGATACTTTGCTGACACTTAGAGGTTCTGTTCAACTGGTAAGTCCCCTGGAATGTGCTAGCTCTTTCCCTGTGTGTTTCATAGATTCAGCAGTTCATAAAGGATGTATTTTTGTGAGTTGTATCTGCTTTTTCAATATTTGAATCTAAGTTGAGTCCTGAGGCAGATATGCATTCACAATGCCCCGAAGAACTGCCTCTCTTGTTTTTCCTGAGGTAGATGCTTAGATTGAGTCTTAGATCTCCCTGGACTGTTGGAGGCCATGTAACCCAAGCCCATTTTTATAGGAGAAAAACACACCAGAATTAGTTGCACAGTGAACTAGGTGGCAGGCATTCAGACCATTGACCTTTTCCTTAAAGTTGAGCTGTTTAAGAATGTAAGTTTATGTAACATCGATGGAGCACTTTTTCTATTCAGGGCTTCACAGAGGGAAGAAGCTGAGATGGTAATTATTTGTGGCTTAAATGACTTTCATTATTGGCTCAGTGGTGACTCTCATAATCCTAATAGCTGCTTCCAGGAACAGGTAATTCCCTTGTCATTATAGGTGACTTCATTTATCTCTTCTTCTGCAGCTGGGCCCATCATTTCTGTCTGCTACCAGTCACCTTTCCCCAGGCCGTTATTTTCTTGGTGGTACCATCATTTGTTACATTTTGATTGCAGTAGCCTCAAAATTCCACCTTTTGAAAGATGTTCAAGCTAACGGCCTAACTTTACCTCTAAGATGACATTGCATTGACATTTTAGATGTCGAAAAGTAGGATATGGGGGTTGCTAGCTGCATAGGAATATAAAATTTGATAGATGTGGTGATTTAAGCTTTAAGATTACTGCAAAACGAAGTTACCGTTCAGCCTTCTTATTGTTTTAGAGACATGGATTTTTATGGAGTCAATATGCAAGGTGTGTGAAGCCTTTAAAGCTACATGCCTTGTTCCTGTCTTCATGTCACCACTGGGAGGGACTTGGTGCCCATGGCATTGAAGCGGATTCGTTGAGCTCTACCCGTGCATTAGTTTGGGCCTCTACCTGACTGATCACTTCACCAGTAGAACAGTCCTGGCATTTATAGGAGAAAATATGATCTGGATTGCTGCATGTCTATTGGAAGATAGGTTTTTAAAATGAGAGGAATCTATATTGATTTAGGTAGAATGTACACGTACTGCACATACTCTTTGGAGGAAAGAGTCACCACAAACTCATTCATTTGTTTAGATCACGTTTTAAACAGATACCTTCTATGTGTCAGGTACTATTCTAGGCACTGAGAATACAGCAGTGATCAAAACAGAAAAAATATCCCTTCCCTCATCTTATGTTGCCAGTTCCAGTATTTTCTCTGCATCTATCTTATCTTTATAAAAATATTTTTGAAATATAGCAGTGTCCATGAAAAGAACTAGCTTTTGCCCATGTTTTTCTGTTTCTTGCTATAATTTCTCCATGGAACGATTAGGGCAGGGGGGTAAGACCTCACATAATAACCCTAAATATGCGGTGGCACTTTTAATAATCCTTTAAAATCATTGAGCAGGTCCCAAGTTTGTGATCACTAATATAGGTAGTGCATATATCTAAGTAATAAAACTAAGTAATGTTATAAGTAAATTTATGATTTTGTGTTGGACTGCATTCATAGCTATCCTGGGCCTCATGTGGCCCATGGGCTATGGGTTGGACACCCCTGGATTAGGGGTTTGTTACCCTCTTAACAGTAATTCTCAGTAGAATTTATAGTAACTTAATAATAACTTTCAGTAAAATATTTAGTATGGCTTTCTACTTTATTCCTCCACTTGGTTGATAAAGGTAGCACTTGGGAAAAGGAAGAGAAATTCAGTTTATCATCTGATTTGATAATTATCAGTAGGAAGAAGGCGAGCATTGAGAAACATAAGATGTGTCTGTGGCCTTTTCCTAGGAGCCAGACCTGACTGATTCTATGCTAACAAGTTAGGACACAGCTTCCCATTGACCCTTCCCTCTTCCTCTTCCCTAAGCATTTGAGCAAGCCTGATCTTTTCCTCCTTGGAGATTGGTTTTCACCTCTTTATAACTGCAAATGTCTTGAGCCCTGGTTCTAAGACAGCAGGTAATTTGGTGATTCGGAGGCTCTTGTTAAATGGGCATAATCCCTAAATTCCATACCTAGTGATACTGATTTTGTAGGTCTAGAGAGGGAACCCAGAACCTGCTATTCCAAAAAGGAGGATTGAAGAAAGGCAGGCATCCTAATGAGATATGTATGGTTTACTGTCTAAAATGTTCTGCAACTCTGGGACTATTGTGGAACTGCATTCTGCTGGGCTGCACCATAGGTATGACTTGGCCATTAAATCTTGTATGCGGAAGAGACCAAATTTATGTACTGTACATGCAATTAAGATGCCAGCAGCACCTAGAAATGTCTCATAGTACCCAAGGAGACTGTGTTACTCAGCTGTTCACCAATGGGAGAAGATTGTCTCGGCTTTGTTAACCATCTTTCTTGGGATTTCTCCATAGGCAATGGTGGCTTGCTACCCAGGAAATGGAACAGGTTATGTTCGACATGTAGACAACCCCAACGGTGACGGCCGCTGTATCACCTGCATCTACTATCTAAACAAGAATTGGGATTCCAAGGTACTTTGGAATAATGGGAATAGAGTGTGGGGTTAGAAACTAGGAAACCAGGAAAAGAATTCAGATGACTTAGAGGAGAGTGTGGAGTTCGTAATTCCCACTGATGAATCTTTTCTATTTTATATCCTCCCCTCCCCACCAGGGTATTAGTACTAAAGTTGATGATATGAAAATGATGGCTATGAAGTGAATTTGATTGGGGGGGGGGATGTGCAGGGTCATTAATAGGATATGGAAGGAGTGGCTGATGAAGAGAAGGCAATTTGCTATTTTAGGGATTGACGTTTTTAGCATAATCTAGAGCTGACAAGACTCAGTGCAGAATAAGATATACCCTTTTCCCTTCCAGCAGTAACATTGAGAGAATTCCACAAAAATAGAACTGTAGGATATAAAACCATCCCCAAGCAAGGTTTCCCACACAGCCCTCTCTCTTGGGGTGACACATGTCACTGGTGGCTGCCTGCCATGGCCTACTCTGGTTTGTGAGTGCCAAAGGCTTTACGGTTTATTTTTGTATTGCTGAACATATAGATAGAGAGAGATATGAAGCCTGGTTCCACACTTGCAAACATTTGTCTGGAATGTGCATCCTTTCTGAAAGTTAAGGATGATTTAGGAGTCTGAGAAGTCAGAACTTTGCAAGCTTATTTGGCTTTTGAACCTTTTGCATCTCCATTTCCTGTTTATTAGGGCAGATGCTAGCTTGTCATGGGCTAGGATATTTTATCTGGGGTCAGAAAAACTAAACCTTGGAATCCAGTGAATCAGTGGCAAGGCTTGTCCCTTCTCCCTGTTTGGTAACGTGACTAGAATTTATCCCTTAGTTGTCCTTTAAAACCTCGAAAGGTGGTGTTATAGACAAGCAAGTGAATGTGTCAGGTCAGTGATAATAAATTGCAAAATACGAAATCATTCAACAACTATTTGAGTGCCTGCTAGTGCCAGGCATTGTGCTGTGGGGGAACATCGGTATATGAGGCCTGAACTCTGCCCTGCTATGGTTATTCTAGTAGGACAGATTGGGTGTACACATGAAATGGGAAAAACTCAATGAAAAGAGAAAGACACGTAATAAAGACTACTGATAAGGTGGTCTGAGAGTTCAGGAAAAACAGCATGTTGCTTCCAACTAACAAGGTCACACAGGAGCTAGTGGAGCTCAGAGGGAAGCTGTAAATGCTCCTTGAAGGGGGGTTATGTGGAATTATCCTACGAAGCTGTTAATATTAGACTGAACCATATGAAATTTCTGGGGTTTCTTGTAGGTCAAATTTGTTGAACGTTGGTGATTCTGTATAATTCGACGTAGTGGAATTCCATTTTGTGCCCATGGGCATCACGATTGCTGGGGTAGGAAGGCTTTTTTTGGCATGAAGTGAAGAAGGAAACTACTCTAGCCAAGTTTGAAGTAGAATTTAATACAAAGTTTGAGGCTGAAGTAAAAATTTGGGAATGTATATGCTCAGAGTGGAGGTTGGAAGATGGCTTTGTTTTTAGATGTTAAATGTCATTGTTAATTAGCTGCGTGTGAGGCCAGGAAATAATCTACCTCCTTTGTGGCCCTTAGCTACACGGTGGCATCCTGCGGATATTTCCAGAGGGGAAATCATTTGTAGCGGATGTGGAGCCCATTTTTGACAGACTCTTGTTTTTCTGGTCAGACCGACGGAACCCACATGAAGTCCAGCCTTCCTATGCGACCAGGTAATAGCCAGGGCCAGGATTCCTCTGGAGATGTTTCTTGTACAAACCCCAGTTCCCAGAGAATTCTCTAAATTTGTGTTCTATGCATATGAGGGAGTAATCACATCCCAAAGCTGATAGCAAACCTGTTTGGACTCAATTTTGGTTTTCCTTAACGTGGAAGCTTTGGATTCTTTAGTATACAAAACCTAACATCAGTTAGTACTATTAACAAGTTGTTTTTCATTAGATAAGCATATTGGATTCTAAATTCCCCAGAGTGTTTTTCTCTTCTCTCTTTCTTTCCTACCCCTCCTTTCAAAAACCTAATGTTGAACTACTACTCCTTGAGAATGTTGGCTACCACATACCAGGAATTCTGTCTGGTCAACCCTGGATGAGTTTATGAGTTGCCCGTTGAGAGCAGAGAAAGAAGCTTGAGAAAAGAAAGAGGAATTTGTTTTGAGTTTTATTTTTTTTAACCCTTTCCTCAGCAAAAAATTGGTTTGGGCTCACTGTACCAATCATACCCCAGCAATTGGTTATAACATAATTCTGTCCTCAGTTTATGCACAGGAAGATTTTCAGAGTAACTAACAACTTAATGTTGTTTAGTATTAATTGAGAAACTATATAATCTTAATTTTGGATTCTGCCTTTTATTTGCCTTTGTTTTATGGCCAAGCCTATAAACCAGGCAGTACTGGAGTGCTATGGGATGCAGCTTGAATAGGGAACAGCAGCTGGGGACAAGGGGTGAGAACAAGAGTAGAAGGATATTAACTAAACCTGAACAAACCTAATTAAATTAAATTCACATGTGTGAAGTTCGTAAGATTTATGTGTCCTCCTCCAGAAATCACAGACCTGAGCCCCACACAGACGTGCATATTAAATGTCAAATTGGAATGTGCCCTAGGTGAGCAGGTAACTAATTCTATCACCAAAGCCTGCTTGTGGCTTGTTTAATGGGGTACAATAATTAGACCTTGTTGTTTGTGCCAGAATTCCTTCCTTATTCCACAGGCCATCAATGGCTGGAGTCACAGGAAACATTAGCAAATGTTGATGGGAAGCCATTGAAAAAATCAAGTGCTATTGAAATTCCAGTAGCTAATAATAGTTGTAAAATGAAGCTTTTTGAAAACTCATACATAAAAGGACTCCTATTGCAGTCTAGTCCATAGATAGGATAAAGCTCATTAATGAGAACACAGTAGAAAGCTTGAGGGCATTATTATTCCATTGCATCTTGGCCTCCGTGTTCAAAACTAAAGAAAGAAAGCCAAGAGTTTATGTGTCCTGTCCTTTAAATGAGTTTTTCTTTAAAGCTTCCCTCAGATGTCACCTCCTCTTCTCTGTGCTCTCCCCACCAAGTTGGGTCTCCCATTCTTTAGCAGAATGATTCCCTTCTAGTCCTTTCTATATAGATCGTTACAAAGCCTGTTACATTGTTTGTTAAATTGCCTGTCTTCCCAACTAGAAGTTGAGCTTCTTGAGGAAGAGGCAGATATATCTGCATGATCATTTGAATTCCCATTGCTCACATTGGTGCCTGGTGCATACTTGGAATTCCTTACATGTTTTATTACACTTAAATAGAATTGAAACCAAAGAAGTTTATTTGAAATTAAAATTGGGATGGACTTCTAATAATAGGGAACACTTTAAATGTTGGCTTTATAAATGACTCTGAGGGGAAGGTTTGTAGGATGCTTTTTTTTTTAATATTGGTAGTATTTTTAAACCTCTTTTCTAACATCTGCTTATCTTTCACAGATATGCTATGACTGTCTGGTACTTTGATGCTGATGAAAGGGCAGAAGCCAAAAAGAAATTCAGGAATTTAACTAGTAGGTGCTTGATAATTTTCTGTGACTTTTGATCAAATCAATCCTTGACTTTTATTCAAGATTTTTTAATGTATATTCTAATCTGCTCTGTTCATTCTCAGCTGTGGCTTAGCTTCATATATAATGACATCTTGATGGGCTTAATCCTGAAACCTTAGCCTTAGCTCTGCTGGGAAAATCAGAAAAATGTAAAGGACATCCTTTGTGAATGCCCACTGATTGCATGACAGTTTATAAGGGATGGGAAATTGTTACCTTTTTATTATTAATGTTCACCCATCCAACATCTTATTAAATGTTGCCCAGGATTTTGGCATATTGCAAAGGAAATGCAATGAAACCCAACTAGGATGGTTAATTTATTATATTGGTGTGGGACTGTGACTCCCAATAGAAAAACTTGGTTCATATAATACAAACTGAATGTGACTTAATAACACTCCTCTCCCCTCCAGCCAGTATTGTAAAGGAGCACTTCCCAAAATGTGTTGCACCAAACACTAATTCTGCAAGTCTTGGCCAGGAGGTTTATGAGGAGATAAATTCCTGGCCCCCCGAATATGGGAAATGTTACGTATCATATCCCTCTTTTGAAGAGCCACAGTGCTCATTGGCATATTGAGCAAGAAAAATTAATCTAAGAAATCCAATAGTCATATGTAACATTGTCTAATTCATAACCCATTTGGTCTATATACCTATCAAACACTTAAGAAAACACACTTTGCTAAGCGCTGTCGGGAGGCACTCTGCTCAGTTTTGTTTTGTAAGTTGGGGAGTATTTACTAGAGGCTTTTTGGATGACATATATGATATTAAACTCATCAGATCTGGCTCCTTACCCTCTTCATTTTCCTTTCTGTCTCCAAACCAGGGAAAACAGAATCTGCCCTCACTGAAGACTGACCGTGCTCCAAAATCCGCTGGCCTCATTCATTTTAACAGCAGTTCCTGGATTCTCTTAGAGAGTTGAGACCCAAAGAAGGCCTCTTCAGTGAATTGGTGACCGGCAAACCCCCTACTGCTTGCGTCATTCACATGCCTGTCTTGCAAATGGTACTTGGTGTTTCCTTGCCAAGACTGCATCCACCTTAGGACACTCTCTCTGCCAGATGAACCCATTATCTAATTCTGAAAATACCTGCAGAAGACCTCTGTGGCCAGCGGTCTGGTAATACTGTGTGTATCAAAATGAGAGCTCAGAAGCATGGGCGAGGGAATAAATCTTATTTGCACTTTATGTACACTTCCTGATTTGAAAGGAGGAGGCTCACAAAGAAAAAAAAATGGTGACAGATGCCACAGGGAGGCATCATTGAAGCCTTAATAGCAAGAAACAGGAATTTGTGTCATCTGAACAATTTCCAGATGTTTTTAATCCAGGGCTGTTGGGGTTTCTGGAAAATTATCACAACCTAATGACATTATTACCTCTAGACAGGGCTGCTGTCATAGTCATCAATTTATCAGTGTCCTGTGGGTAGACACTCCTTTTTCCTGATCCTACAACCTGGACTTTCTGCCTCTGCTGTATTTCACTGAGCACATGACTTTCTGATCAAAAATGACATCATTTATTTTCTATTTTCACTTTTACTTGGAGAACCTAATTCTTCAGAGGCAAAACCTAGATATTAATTATTAGTTTGATTGCTTCGTTGAAATGAAATTTGAATTTAAAGCAAAGGGAAAAAAATGTACCTGGTAGTTTAGAGTTGGCAACCTCTGATGCTGGTGTTGAAAGACCTGAGTCTACTGATATACGACAAATGTGTGCGCGTCTTGAGAATGAGATGGACTTGGAGGTGTGGACATTCTCATTTTTCAGTGTTTCTGTTGAATGAGCTCACCCTTCTTTAACAAAATGAGAAACTATTTAAAAAATAGGGTGCTATTAAAAAAAGAAATGGAAATAAAAAAATCCTGAAAAACTGTTTGAGTTCTTTCACATCTTCTACCCGAGTTGCCTTTCTCAACAGCTTTGACTCTCCAGCTCCACTGTGGCTGGTAGTGCGCCCGGGATCACGGGGTCTGCCAGAGCCGAGGTGGGCCCTCCTGCTGCGGCAAGCACGGGTTCCTCGAGAACTCTGTATCGAGCGCCTGCTTTATGAAAGCTACTCTTCCTAGTTCCCAATTCCATTTTCATATGTTTAAAATCCCTTAATTACTTGTTTGAAAATCCCATGAACTTTAAAGAGGCAGGACTATTTTCTTTAGTCATTTACAGATAGATAGACTTTGCAAGAAAGACACTTATTTTTTCCTTTTCTGGTTTTAGAAAATATCTAGCTAAGACCTGTCTTCATTCTCATAACTGCTCGCTCGCGCTCTCTCTCTCTCTTCATACTGCTCATCACCTTCTAACTTAATATGTAACTTTCTTATTTATTGTGTTTATTTTCTTGCATCTTTCCTAAGCACAAAGGTAACAGGAATGTATTCCCAGCTCCTAAAATAGTATCTGGCACACAGTAAGGGCTCAGTAAATACTTTTGAATAAACTTGCTCTCCCACCCTAGCATTTCAATTGTTTGATTAATTTTCTTCATCTTTGGTGGGAAGGACTCACTGGAATTTTTGTACATACATCTCTCATTGTTGACATACATTTAGGCTAAGCGTTTTAGAAAGCATTGGTCATTATGTCATTTCATATTTGCGCACCTGCTTGAACAGGTCATTGACCACTATGAACCTGAAAATTGAACAGAGGATTCTGCCCATTGGTATCCTGGGGCTGCAGGAGTAATTTAAACCAATAGCTTCAGATAGGGCAGAGTACATCCTTCCTTCGGAGCAATTTTGGAAAACCTCATTAGCAGAGAAATGAAAAGTGTTTCTTCGGAATTTTATATTCTATAAAATTGTAACTAAGATGTTTTTCCATAATTACAAAGGTCATGAATGACAGAATATTCTGAAGGAATATCATGTTCCAATAATATATCTTGTATCTTTTACTTTGGTCAATATTTTACCTTGCCAAAATATTGGACCTCTTAGGCCTTCCATACTCCTTTCAGACAAAGGTTTTATACATTAATAAACTGTATATCAAATCAACTTTTAATGCACTGATTTTTTTCGTGGCTGAATTTGCGTTCTGGAAAATGAAGCTGGAAAACACAACGGTAATAGTGTCTGCTATTTTGCTTCTCTCTTTGACAGCCCACTTAGAAAATGACTTAGCCTTGCTAAAGCAATATTATTTGGCAAATAATCTGATCAATTTCTGTGATATTCCTGGCAATGAAATATTAAGAGCCTACCTCAGTGTTACGTCACCTATATAGTGCAGAGTCCTTGGCAGGAGATTAAATTTTGAGCCAAAGATCCAATTTCATGGAAATAAAAAGTCTTACCTAAGTGCATTAAATAGAACTTCAGTAGGTAGTTAATACCAATTAAATACTAGGCTGTCTGAATCACTAATTATCCGTTCAGACATAATTCTGTTTTTCCTTCTTTAAATAACTCAGATTTCTTTAAAGGCTGGGTCATCCTAATTTATTTTGGCCATTCAGTCTTCAAATTTCCTGTGTTTCAGAAAGCAATGATGAGAAATGCCATGCTGGGTCAGCAGTTTGTATAAAATAGGGTTTTGGACATGTCAGGTACTTTTATATTTGATAACTATGAGGACAAGTACAAGGGATGTTCTTGGTAAAGTTATTTCAAATGAAAATAATACAAAATTGACTTAGCTTCAGTCTTGAATCTTTTGAACGGCATGACGAGAATACTGATTAGGTAGGTGGTCAGAGACTATTGTCAAAGAGTGGAAATAAATAGTTCTTTTCAAAATGAAGCTGGCTATAGTTGAACTCTATTGGATAACATATGCTGGTCTGTATTAAAGAGCCAATCTACTTTTAGACCCAATCGACAATCCAAATGTGATTTTTTAATATGCTGCTATCTCACCTTGGTAATAGGGTAGTCCCCTGAGAGGCTGGATTTACCATGGCCTATCTCCTTTACGTTTGCAAGGCCAAGCTCATTAGTTAGAGGCATGATATAAAACAATTGGTAAAGTGACTCTTAAGTACTCAGAGAATACCTGTATGCCAGGCCTGTGCTATATGCTCTCGCGTGTTTATTTTGTGCGGCCTCTGAGACAGCTCTTACTTTTTACAAATAAGGAACTGTATTCTGACTGGCTAAGTGGCTTATCAGAGGTTACAGGCTGATGGGGCAACACATCAGGATTTAGCTCAAGACTTCCGACTGAGTGTTGTTATCTTTGGGGTCACCTACCTGCAGAGGAGACACCAGACAAGAGTGGGATGAGTGGAGTTGGGAGAGAGGGAGCTTTGCATAAATACTTGCTATTTGATATTTTTGCATAACGTTTTGATTATCAATGAGGGTCTCATGCCCAATATCCTAAAGGAATGTCAATTTTTCAATATAAACCACATGAGCAGAAAACACCAATTTCATACTTGAATTCTCTCCTGACTTTGCAACGGGCTCTTCCCTAACTGCAAAGCAGGATTGTGGAGGAACTTTGGGGGTATGCCCAACACTGGCCTCTCGGGCTAACGCTGGGCATGAGGTGTATGGGGTCTGCTGTCACCGATGTGACAGAGTTAAGCAGTGTGGGCCCCCTGGGAGTGAAAGCAGATTTGGATTTTCTTGGTGCTGTTTGGAACCTTCCCAGCGGGCCACAGAGCACTGGGGTATTTAGAGCATAAGCTGCCACTCTTATGTTCCTATGTCGATGCACTCTGAGGGGAAAAGAGGAAAGAGGTCTTTTTCCTCTTGATACACATAACATTCCAGTTTGGGCTTGAGGTAGAGCTGAGATGTCAGTGCAGTTCTGTTACTGATAAATAAAAATATCTGATCAGTGGAAACTAAGGGAAGAGGCCAAGCGAGGCCCTGTCATCTCAAGGAATAGTCGTAGCACCTCTGAGTGATACTGAGTGGAGATTCACAGACGCTTTTAATTCTCAAAGGCACTTGGGTGATCTCTACCTAATCTGTTTTTTAAATTGAATGTATTGGGTCGACATTGGTTCACTAAACTATACTGGTTTCAAGTGTACAACTCAACAAAAATCATCTGCGCACTGCATTGTGCCCCCGTTGCCCAAAGCAAAGTCTTTTTCTTTGCCCACCTCCGCCTACCTCTGCCCCCTTTTTCCTCTGGCTATCACCACACTGTTGTCTGTGTCTCTGTGAGACATACATACACACACACACACACACACCATGTAATATATATGTGATATGTGTATATATGTGTGTTTTTTACTTAATCCCCTCCCCTCCTTTCACCCAGCTCCCAACCCCCATTCCTTAAGGTGGCTTGTAGAAGGATGTCATTTTAATCTCTTTAAAACACAGCACTTTTTGTTTAATACTATGAAAGCCTGAATGTTGAAAGAGCCCCAGATTTCTTTCTTGAATCCTGTTTGTTTGACCTTTCATAAACTTAGCGCTTAGAAAAGTCAGCTTCTTTTTTGGAAATAGTGGCTGCTCACGCTCCTGAGTGCTGAGACTTTTCCAGAAAATTTATAAAGACCATTTTGTGATTCGTTTTTTAAAGTCAGAGAAACATCTCAGAGCTGTTGTTGTACTGTTACAGTTTTGCATGTGGATTTAAGAGCAGTTGTGGAGGGAAATTCATTATTTTAGGAGCAGATAAACACCGGGTCATTAAAAATTAATTTAATAAGTAATCTTTGTTCTGTGCAGCTACCTGGGTGAGGAGGAAGGAAACACTAGCACGCGGCAGGGATGCAGTTGCCCACTATCTGGAGTTTGAAGCCTTCATTGGGGACCAGGTTACCTGCTATAAAAATGCTGGGAAGTAGGAATTCCCAAGATTCTTTTCCAAAGAACTTCATTTATTTTATTTTATTTTTTTGAAAAGGTAATACATGGAGATAGAAATATAAAAGCAAACAGCTTGAAAAATGCATAAAGGGAAAAATGTCCCTTTCCACCAGAAACAGCTTCTTGGTTGTCTGCCCAATCCTGGAAAGTGAGCACCTCCAGAAAGGCCCTTCCCCTGCACGGGTGGCACGTTTGCGCCATCATTTCCTCCTATTTTTATGCTTATTCATCCTGTGGCCTGTGTTCTCCGTGACAAGCCTATTTTTTTTCCACCCTCCTGTGGGGAGAGATAACATTCTCAGAACTTAATTCTCATCTGATACGTTTTATTTTTAACCAACCTCTACATCCTTTCCTCTTTGCTTATTTTCCTGAGCCCGTTCTGCCTTTTTGCTCGGCCTTTTCTGGCCTCAGAAGGTGTGAGCAGAACGTCCGGTTATGGTGCAGAGCGCCAGGGCTTTCAGTGCAGGAGCAGCTGCTCAGGGTGCCGGGAAACTGGCTCAGAGGCTGAGGTCAGGGAAACTTTCTCTTCTGCCCACGTTCCTTCCTGCTTTAAATTGGGCAATCCACTCTTATCTGCTCCTTCCCTTCTAAGCTCTCTGTAAATTTCCTTTTGTCAGTATATTTATCTTATCTTGATGAAGGAAACATGCTTTAAAAAACAGGACAGCTGCGGCTTGCCGTGATTCGCGGGACTGAGTCTCCCATCAGCAGTGGCCTTGCAGCCACTTAGGGCTCCCAGTGTGACTGAGTCATGACTTAACATGACGATTCTTGGACTGAGATGAATGAAAGCAGCCAGAGTCCATCCAAGTGAAGGGAAAGGGTTTTGTTTTGTTTTGTTTGTCACATGACCTCTGACTGAGGCTTTCCCAGACAATTGCTAGGCGTAAACTGATCTCAGCTACTTCGCAGTACCATATTTTGCCATGTATAATGCACAGTTTTTTGCCCAAATTTTGGAGGGAAAATTAAGGATATTCATTATGCATGGGTATAATGATCACATACCACGTGTATAATAATGGGCATAATAACCCTGTGTATAATGTGCACAAAGACGGGGGCGCACATTATACACGGGAGAGCGTTATACACGGCAAAATATGGGTACATATATGTTCTTTTATTTTCTTTTTCACCTTTGCCCTGCCACTCCCTCCTCCCCAAATATGACTAAATATGGTTATGGCTGAAAGTTTTCCAACTAACACTAGGGTGAATAGAAAGCTTTTAACCTGAGAGGGAGGGGAATGGAGTTTGCAGTGACTGGCTGCATTCCCCAGAGAGGGCTGTGCATGGGAATGTGCTCGAGACTTGAACTTCATGGCCTCCAATGGCATTTTCTCGCAAGTACCACTTAGCTCTGTCACGCATCATGTATATGGTCACTATGCATTTCCTATAACACTGTAATAGGCGCTTGGAAACAAATGCTAAAAAACCAAGAGATCCACGGAATAGCTTCACAGTGTGGCAGACAAATATCAAAGGATCTAAGACTAGTACCACTAATATGTAAGCACTTTATCATGTACCAACCAGGGCCCCAGGAATGTGACAGGGGCGTAAGCCAGGACAAGCGGAATAGGAAAACTGAGATAGATAGTTAAACGGCCAAGCAGTTTACAGCCACCTGGTAAATCCTATCTTCCCTAAACCAAAGGCACTTCAGAGTAAATGGTTTGCACTTTTCCTCCCCAACCAGAGGGTAAATAGCTTAAATCATCCTACTCAGGCAGATAGCAGAAATCCAATTAGTGCCATTTGCCAACCATACCCAAGGACAGAGGAAGTTAAGGGAATAATAAATTTTGGTTTGTCAGCATAAAATTGATGAATGTTCTATTGCGATCCTCCCTTAAGACCTCCTCCAAACCCCCAGCCTTTAAAACTCCTCAAAATGAAGGTCCCAGCATGCTCCCTCCCTCCCAGGAGCTCAGCTGAACCATGCCCCTTTGCCCCCCACAGGCATGCACCTCCTAAACTCTAAGGGGCCCCAAGAGGTTTGCTACCAGGGAGCAATGGGCAGCAGAAGTGCATCTCGGGGTTAACCCCTTGGACCTGTCCCTGCAGCCCCCTTTTCTCTGGCATAGTAAGTCAAAGCAGCCCCGCCTCAACTCATTTGCCCACCTAGCCTCTTAGGCCCGTCTTTGTTTCAGTCTTCGGCTTTAATAGCTGTTCTCTAAAAGTCACCTGGACTCGTATTGTGAACTCTTTCTCGCACAAAGTCAAGATACCACATACTATGGGCTGGCCAAGGCAGACCTGCTCAGGGCCAGGCCTGCCTTGCTGTGACAGGAAGAAATCGATGACATACAAATTACAGAATCAGAGAAGAGTTAAATGAAGGGACTTTTTACCAAGGTTGGGAGAGTATAGGGAAACTACAAGAGATTGAGCAGCACCATCCCAGGCAGGAAGGGAGCCGGAAAGGAGGGGAAAGCCGCATAACTGGAAGCAGCCTGGGTAGAGGGCTACCTGACAGGAGCTGGGGCCTTTGCTGGACGAACCCAGCTGGCCTAGGGGATCGATCCTGCAAGAAGGGAGCCAGGAAATAAACACCCTGCCCTCCTGCTTCTCCCTCTTCCGAGCTGCTGGAGAATGCCCTTGGCTGCGCATATCTAAAAGTCACCAGTCGACAGAGCCTGTTGACAGAGACCTAGGTCAGCCTCCCAGGGCTCACTGCAGGGACCTAGAGACGACAGTGTGGAGGTCATAAAGAAGACAGTCAACAAGAACGGCCTCCCGGCTTCTACCCCTCACAGCTTATCTCTTACTACTCCTTCCCTTGTTCGCTATGCTCCCACTAACCTAGCATTTTTCTAGTTCTTCAAACAAGTCAGGCTTGTTTCTGCCTCAGGGCCTTTGCACTTGTTACCTCTGCCTCCAGTGCTTTTCCTGTTTTGCTTTGCATGGGTGATTATGGGTCACTGAGATCTCAGCTTCTTAAAGAAGATTTTCTCTATCTCACCCTCCAGTCATATTCTATCTCACTAGCCAGTTTTATTTTTATATTGAAGAGAGTAATGGAATTGTTTTATTTTAAAATGTTGATATTTAACTGGAAGTTGCTTTGCAAATGTTTAAGCTCAAGGTGAAAAATTTAGATATCCATTTAAAAATATGCAAGGGGTACCTGTTTTTATGAATTTTATTTGGGTCGTGCAAAAATGTTTGGCTACCACTGATGAAGCCTAAGGACTCAGCAGGGGCTGTCTGAAGGAGCCAGTGGTGCGCCTTCTCTGATGGGAGCGGGCGTGCCTGTGCGGTTTCCCCTGGCCACCAGCCCTGTGTTTATCTACAGGGACTTGCAAAATCTCCCCCAAGAGCTCCAGAGAGATTTTCTCCCTGCTCTGATGGCTACACCCTGACTTATTCTAGCTCATGTGGATGCAGAGCACCCACTCCACTCCTTGCAGGCACCCTTGACTAGGCAGTGAGGCTTGAAGAGCCAGCTCTTGGTCAGGGCAATCTGAAGATGTATCACACTTGACAATTTAGAGTGAGCTTTTTGTGGCCTCGTCTTATCTAGGAAATGGCACGAAGCCATTCTTGACGGCTTTCCTGCAACTGCCATGGCTTTCCTGACAAGCTGCCAGCCATTTGCTGGCATCTGATTGCACAGACCCCCATTCTGATGAGCAGAGCCTCTGCCACCCAATTGTTAAGTATTTTCATAACCACCTCTCCTTTTGAGGACAGGATTTTCCTCCAAGCTCTGCTGCTACCTGCTTGGCCGCCATGCTCGTCCTCTTTAGGTAGTGCTCTCAAAACGTCTGGGTTCAAGAGGAAATGTCACGGACATCCAAGAACGGGCCCAAGAACAGCAGACGCCTCCCTGGACTTGCAGTGGAGGCTGAGAGCAGCCAGGGACTGAGGAAGCTCTCAGGGCAGCGCCTACCCGCTCTCCTGCCCTTTTCTTGCCTTTGGTTGAGGAGCTTCTCTGGGCCATGATATCCTAGCTATGTGACTTTCCTATGTCACTTTCCAGTTATGTGACATTCCAGCAGCTTTCATCTTTCTAATACTCATGCAAAGAATATCTTGATTTGTGAAGTTTATCTTTTAGTGCCAGACCAAAAGTCTGGACTGACTGCCCTGTGACCAGGTGTTCGCCAGTGTTGTGGATGCGGGGGAGGGAGAAAGCGAAGCACCATGTAGTTCCTTATACAGTTGTTTAGGGCCGTTTCTCTCAGAAGGGCATGTCAGTGGGGCAAGCCCCTCCAGATCACACAGGGTCACATTTACTCTTTTGGTCCTTGTTAAAAACAGAAGTGAATTACAATAGTCTCACTTAACAAAAGGTGAAAGCTCTGTCTTAAGTGAAAAACGTACTGAAATAGTGGTAGTCATGTGCCTCCTCACATGTGTGCTGATTTGTGCTTCAGATTTACGGTTGGACATCCTGGCTCTGAGAAAGAACATAAGCCCCAGGAAGTAGGTTTCGGACCTGGTAGAGCCGAGCAGGAGGCCCTGGCTTCCGGAGCTTGCAGGGAGGGGTGGCGGGGGTGGCACCCTGCTGAGTGGCAGCTGCTGAAGGCACTTATTCTCAGTGCACATTTCCCAAGGCAGGGGGCGGGGGGTGGGGGCCGGGGGGTCTGCCTCACTGGTCAGGTGGAATGAGGGGATGAGTAAAGCCTGACCTGACCTGCACTTCGGGCTGTACAAATTAGATCATATCTCTAAATTCCACATCAGAGCCCGGTCTTGGGGGTGACCTACACAAATGCAAGTAATATTACTATGAAGTTTCATCTCTAAGGAAAATAATTAAGTCATGGTCATTTCTTTCCCTATTAGATTACAGCCAGGGGCTTCTTATGAAAAAACAAACAAACAAACAAACAAAAAAACCCCAAAACTACTCTGCATTTACTGTAGTTAATGGTATTTTCCCCAAATCCCAATCATGTTCTTCTTCTGCTCCCCTCAGTGTGCCATGGAGTTAGAAAGCTCCATAAAATAGACATATTGCAAGGCTGTGTTAGCCGTGCCCTGCCATCTCTCAAAAGACAGGCATTAGTGACAGGTAACACCTGTGAGGGCTGAGCTCTTTCACAGCTGTTGCTTTTTTGACTCAACAGCCAAGTTTAGGTTTGGAGACGTCCTTGAAGGTCAGCTGTTTCTCCCCCAGAAGCTTTAATCCCTGCCCTGTAGTTACGCCTTTTTCTCTGCAAGACCATACTTGAGCCTGACTATGTTCCCCTGACGGCAGTATAGCAACACACTGCTGGACCCACGAGCTAGTTCTTGCAGTATTTTCAAGCTTGGAAAAGGACGGCTCTAAGATAAGGGAAGAAGACTCGAGCTATGCAGGTGAGAAACTTTGAGCATTCTTGGGTAAGTGGTGCAGCTTTGGGCTACGACATAGCACAAAAAGGCAGGGAAGACTGCAAGCAGCTAAGCACAACTCTGAGTGTTGTGTGTCTGTGAGATGTAGGTGATTCTCTTAGATGTTCAGCGAGCACTCGTTTGGAGTGTGACACTTCACCACCTGTACTTCATAGCAGCTTGGCAGATGGGAGGGAGGCAACGTGGTTTATTGGAAACAAGGTGGATTTTGGAGTCAGGTCTGGTTTTGAATTTCAGTTTAGCTGTTTCCAACTGTGCAAACTCTATAAGCTATCTGTACCTCAGTTCTCTTCGTGGCCTTGCCTCCTCTCCCTCTAATGATTATAGGGTAACTAACTCACACAGTGTTTCCTGTCTGCGTGAGTCTGGGCTCTGCTAACTTAGAGGTTTTAGTGCCCTAAGGACAAATGCACACGTATTGAATTTGGATGTTGACAGCTGCCTGGCCACTTGTGCTTTCAGGAGTCACTACCAGGTAAATGGGCAAGAATGAATGACAACTGCACAGCTTAATGTAGACTGGAGTAATTGTTGAATTTTCAAGGGAGAGTTAGGGTCAGTGCTGGTCAAGGAATCTGAGAAATATGGATGGCCCATATCTCGGGCTTCCCTGGGGTCTGTCTGCCCTTGGACCACTGTGCCTGGAATAAAGGTTAACAGGGAGCTCTAGTGGCACTTCTCAGGGGCATGGCCCTGGGCTCAGCTCCATTGGGAATGAGGTTTTAGGGTACTGTTTCAGGTAGAGAGAGCCCTGGACAGCTGTGGAGCTGGCTGAAGGTAAAGGGGGTGCAATGGAGAATGAATAAATTAGACAGTTACCAATTTACTGGCTCTTAGCCCCAAATCTTCCCTTCATGGTCTTGATAATGGAGCTTAGACAGTGTCAACATTTTTCCTTTGCCACCTGGTACATGCTAAACTTTGTTTGTAGAGGTTGCTGGAGAGGCATTGCAGGAGGGAAGCGGAGTCTTCCTGTTGGCAGCGTGCTCCTGTTCTGCTTGCCCCATGGTCGCCTGTGGAATATGTATACAACACTGAGTGGCCTTATCCTCTTGCAAGTATTATTGCCAGTCCCCAGCCCATGTGCTTTGCCTGTGGGACCCAGCAAGAGACTTGCTGACCAGCAACCTCCCCTTCCTCTTCTACTTCGAACTAGCACATACCTGGGCACTAGAGCACTTCTCCATCATCTGTAAAGCCTTATCCTCTGGAAGGATGTGAATCTCAGCCTGGGGAAGGAGCCAACCTTCCAAGTTTGTCCCTTCCTTGGTTACTCTTCCTCAGTTCTAGGGTATTCTTTATCTATCTGGAGAGACTCCCTGTAAATTGTTCTTGTTAGTCTTCTATGTTGAAATTCCTATGCAGTCTCTACCTCCCACCGGGACCCTGACCAATATAGAATTGGTACCAGGAGTGGTCCCAGAAGATAGATATCCACCCACCCCCATCCCCACATTCACAGGTGGTGTTTTGGGATGAGTCTGGGTTTAAGTGCAGGGCTCAGCTCTTGCCAATGGGAAATGGAGCGTGGGTAATCTATGGCATGCAGCACCATCAAAACTAATCAAGCTATCACCTGTGGTTAATTGCGATGCAACCTCAATGGAAACAAATGCTCAGAACCCCAAGCAACTGCTGGATTTGACTCTTAATGGCAGTAATGATGACTAACAAGGACTGAGACACGTGGTGGGTGTTCCTGCATATAGTTAAGTATTTACAGAGAAAAAAAATGACAAGCTCAGACCCTTTAATTCAGCTGAAGCTATGGTCTGACAATAGAATGACAGTAGACACAGGCATGATGTTGCTGAAATCAGATAGAAAATTTACTTATGTGGGTTGTTGGATTATGACCGGGAAATTCACAGTGTGGCCAAGTGTTTTATGTTAAAGTTGAGGATATTGACAGGGAAAGAATGGGAATCCTTTTGGGAATGCCCTGCCTGGTTTCAGGAGCTGTAACCCTGCCGACAGGCTGGAGGGCCAAAAGGCTGGAAATAATCAGGAGGCCTTGGAGAAACAGGCTCCTGAGGAGACATAACCTGTCTCTCCTGGCAGGGGCGTAGCTCCTGCCTCTCTGCTTTGCCTTGTGATGGTCCCTGTCAATGATGGGTAAGATCCCTTGGTGGGGGGCAACCTAAGCCAGACATCGACCGATATAGGCAGCAGACAAGAAATTGGGGGACACAGAGAAGGGGCAAAAAGGCCCCCACACCTCTCGACTTGGCTTGGACAAGGCTGGAGTCCTCACTATAGCCGAAAAGCAGTCTCCTTATCTCTTGGTGGTTCCCTCCCGACGCCTGGCTCAGACTTGAAGCAGTGCAGGAATCAGCCCTGAATTAGATCTGGTGGTTCTGGGGGAAATCAGGCCTAAAAGTAAATTCTTTAAAGTGTGCTCTGTTCTCCCCTCAAAGCTCTGGTCAGCTCATGCTGCGAAGGACATTTACATTCTTTACACCCCTTACCCTATATCTTTAAGGCACCTTTATGTCTACTTTCCCCTTATCGTTAGTCTCTTTTGTCTATACAAGTCTCCTCTCGGACCCATGTAAATCAGTGTATTCCTGTCACTTGTCTCTTAAAAGTATCATATATTCTCCGTGAAACTTAACATATTAATGTAATGAGATAACGTATGCGTTCCTGTAACCTACCCCCACTGATAAGATTTTCAATAAAAGCCTTGGAACAGAGGGCAACGGGGACTTCTACACTAGTGAGATGTGCCACGGCCTTCGCCAGTAATAGGGAAGTGCCCCCATCTGCTCTCCTGGCAAACAGAGAAGTGTTTGCGACGATTTGTGTTTATTCCCGTCATCTGTGACAGCCCCCGACGGGCTCTGCAGGATTTAGAGCCCTGCTCCCATCTCAGCTGGCCCCCGCTGGTTTCCCTCAGGTTCAGGGAGTGCCGAGCTCTCTGAGGCGCCACCCGCCACCCCTAGACCCCCGCCCCGGGGCAGAGGTTGCTGCCCGGGCCGGGCGAGCTGCGACCCCAGGGTGCTTCCCCGCAGCGACATGCCCCGTCTAGCCTCTGCGCTGTACAATAGAATCTCATCCTTGAAATGAGAATATCTGGTTAGATTTTGATAGAACAACAGGCTTGAGGCTTCCTTCCACACCACTCACCTCAAGCTTCCCTGCCCAGTGGAAACAGCTTGCCCTCTGATATTTGAAGAGGCAAGCCTTCCTTTGCTTGAAAACCCCCTGATAACCTTATTTGGAGTAGAGGTCTTAAAATGGGGTGCTAAATCTTCTCAAGACTCTTGTTACCAGTAATTAGCCCTATAAGTACAGTCAATTCTCAGCATTCTCCAGGGACAAAAATCTACTGTGACCTAAGAAGAAATAACTTACACACTGAACAAATTGTAATATTTTGCCAATATATCAGCGGAAACCTGGGAAATATGTGTGGGAATGTATTCCAAGAGTGTTAGACCTCCTGTGGTTGTGGGTTTTCTGCTTATATTTCTACAAATATAAAGATTTGTGTGCTTTGAAATTCTGGGGATAATGCATAACTCTTTGTGACTAATGATTTTTGTGGATTGCAACTTTTCAAAAGTAAAAATATCCTTCTTTGATTTCTCTTAGTGATCGTTACATTGAACTGTTTTGTCTGAGATTGATATTATTCTATTCATCTTCTTTTAGTTAGCATTTTTAAATTATATTTTATTGATTTAAGCAGCAAGAGAAAAGGAGAGAGTTTCCTACAAAAGAGTTCCCATAAGACAATCAGGTTATTTCTCAAAACAAACCTTGCAGGCAAGAAGAGGCTGGAAAGAAGTATTCAAAGTCATAAAAGCAAGGACTTACATCCAAGATTACTCTATCCAGCAAAGCTATCATTTATATTCAATTGTCCCATTTTTTTTTCCCCTTTATCCCCTTCCACCCAGTACCACCATTCTCTACAGCATTCCCTGCTCCCCCCCCTTAGTTCACGTCCATGTGTTGTACATATAAGTTCTTTGGCTTCTCTATTTCCTATACTATTCTTAACCTCCCCCTGTCTACCTTGTACCTGCTCATTGTGCTTCTTATTCCCTGTATCTTTTCCCCATTTTCCCCTTCCGCTTCCCTGCTAATAACCCTCCATGTGGTCTCCATTTCTGTGATTCCTTTCCTGTTCTAGTTGTTTGCTTAGTTTGTTTTTGGTTTTGTTTTAGGTTCAGTTGTTGATAGTTGTGTTTGTTGTCATTTCACTACTCATAGCTTTGATCTTCTTCTTTTTCTTAGGTAAGTCCCATTAACATTTCATATAATAAGGGCTTGGTGATGATGAATTCCTTTAACTTGACCTTGTCTGTGAAGCACTTTATCTGCCCTTCTATTCTAAATGATAGCTTTGCTGGATAGAGTAATCTTGGATGTAAGTCCTTGCTTTTATGACTTTGAATACTTCTTTCCAGCCTCTTCTTGCCTGCAAGGTTTGTTTTGAGAAATAACCTGATTGTCTTATGGGAACTCTTTTGTAGGAAACTCTCTCCTTTTCTCTTGCTGCTTAAAGATCTTCTCCTTATCTTTAATCTCAGGCAATTTAATTATGATGTGTCTTGGTGTGTTCCTCCTTGGGCCCAATTTCTTTGGGACTCTCTGAGGTTCCTGGACTTGTATGTCTATTTCCTTTACTAGCTTGGGAAAGTCTTCCTTCATTATTTGTTCAAATAAGTTTTCAATTTCTTACTCTTCCTCTTCTCCTTCTGGCACCCCTATGATTTAGGTGTAGGAACATTTAAAGTTGCTCCAGAGGTTCCTAAGACTCTCCTCATTTTTTTGAATTCTTGTTTCTTCATTCTGTTCCAGTTGAGTGTTTATCTCTTCCTTCTGTTCCAAATCATTGATTTGAGTACCAGTTTTCTTCCCTTCATTGTTGGTTCCCTGTATGTTTTTCTTTATTTCATTTTTTTATAGCCTTCATTTCTTTCTTTATTTTACATCTTTACTCAGTCATTTAT